AGGAAAAAAGGTGAGGTGAAGAAGATCGCTTGTCGGTGATTCTTCACTGATTTGCCTGCATTCTCCACCAGTGTAACGGGGTGAAGAATCACACGACAAGGAAATCTTAATAAATGCCCCAGAGGGTGGATTTATTGGTGAGGTGGGTGGTAGGGAGAAAGGTCCAGGTAGGTGCTCCGGTGCCGTGAGTGCTCTCTTCCGTCTTCCCAGTGCAGAGTGTCCGTGCAGTGCTCCTGTGGGGCTGGTCGGTCACACGCTGCTGTCTGTGGGAGAAATGAGAGGGCGAGTTAGTGCTCAGTCTCATGGAGAAGTCTCCTTGATGGCAGGGCTTGCGTGGCTTATGTGGCCGCCGCCTAATGAGCTGCAGCTGTGACCGATCAGCCTGTGATGAGGACGGCCAGGTGTTCCTTGCTTGTTTCCAGGGCGATGCTGATGCAGCTTCGGGACGCTCGTCACAATATATATATATATATATAGAGAGAGAGAATATTAGTTTGAACAGAATATTCAAAATCATTATAAGAACGTTTTGACCAACCATCAAAGTCACTGCTAGAGAAAACGAGCATTTGTGTAAGTGGAGTTTTGACTCAAATCCTTATAATTATTGAGATATAGAGCACTGTGTGACAACTAGCCCCAGTCTATTTGTTTACGTTATGGTAATTAGAAGGCTATGCTACATCATCGTAATGTGAACTATGCTTAATTATCGTGAAAATAATCTCAATGCGAAAAAAAAATTGTGCTTGTTTTAAAATAGGCTTAATTTAATTATACTGGTTTTCTTTTGAATTTGTCTTGAAATATGACCGTGATTTTTTAAATGAGATCCATTCTGTCCACAGTACGAACGTTCCTTAATTTTGCTGCAATTCGCCACAACATACACGAGGGGCGCCACGTGATAAATACATACACACATGAGCCCATTAGTGCGCATGCGCACTTGTGTGAGACGTTTGAAACTTCTCGCCGCCCAGTGATTAGGCAGCACTTCGAAACACTGACAAATATAGGGGGAGAAGGTAGCCATAGTGAGGTGTGGTGTGGTGATTTTAATGCACACAATACATTATGGGGTAGTGAGCACACAGATCATAATGGAAGAGCAGCGGAAGAACTCTTAGAAATGAAAAATCTAGTGTGCATTAATGATGGGAGTTATACTAGGTTGGATATATCCAAAAGTAAATATTCAGTTATTGACTTAACAATTATGTCTGAATGTTTAGCTAAAGATAGTGTGTGGAAAGTATTAGAAAAAATTTAATAGGAAGTGATCATTTTCCTCTTTACTGTAAAATAGGATTAGAAGTTTCAAAAACAGACATAGAAAGGGTTCCTAGATGGAAGATTAAAGCAGCAGATTGGAATGCATTTCAGTGTGAATGTGAACCAAGATTACAAAGTTTAAACAGTAATATAGATGATGTAGAGCAATATAATAATACAATTTGCGAAATTCTTTGTGAGGTTGCAGAAGATGTAATAGGTAAAAGTATAGGTATAGGCAGAAAAAGAAAAATGTGCCATGGTGGACTGATGAGTGTAGTAAAGTAGTTAAAACAAGAAATAGGTTATTAAGGAGAGTTAAAAAGTCATATTCTTTTGATGACTTTATTGCATATAAGAGAGCACAGGCAGTGGTAAGGAACGTTATCCATGTGGCTAAAAGAAATCATTGGAGAGAATATTGTGATAGAATTGGTGAAAATGTAGACATCAGCGATGTATGGGGAATGATCAGAAAAATGGGAGGGATACATAATTTTAACAGTATACCAGTTTTAATAAGTGGAAATAAACAAGTTATCAGTAATAAAGAAAAGGCAGAGGTTTTGGCTGAGGCATTTGTAAAGGTGCATAGTAATGATAACATTTCAGAAGAAATGAGGGAAAAAAGAGAACAAAGATTAAGAGATAATCCAGATGTTTTAATTCAAAAAGTTTCCTCGGAAAGTCCAATGGATGCCATATTCACATTGAATGAACTAAAACAGGCACTGAAAGGGGTAAGACATACTTCTCCAGGGAAAGATGAAGTGTGTTATGATATGATCAAGCATCTATCAGAAAAAGCATTAAATATAATATTAAAACTTTACAATGAAGTATGGAAATCAGGGAAACTCCCGTATTCGTGGAAACAAGGCATTATAGTACCTATTGCAAAACCTGGGAAAGACCAATCTATTCCGATGAACTATAGACCTATTGCTTTAACATCAAACATGCGCAAAGTAATGGAAAGAATGGTTATGTCACTAGTATTATTTTATTTGGAAACCAAAAATATGTTACATCCATATCAGAGTGGATTCAGAAAGGGACGTAGTACACTAGATGCAGTTGTATGCTTGGAGAATGAAATAAGGAAAGCTCTAGTGAAAAAAGAAGCGGTAATAGGAGTTTTTTTGACATTGAGAAGGCGTATGACATGGTGTGGAAGGAAGGGCTGTTAATTAAATTAGATCGAATGGGCATCAAGGGGAGGTTATATAACTGGATTATGGATTTCTTGCAAGAACGAACAATACAAGTGAGAGTAGGTACTGAATACTCTGATATTTATCAAATAGACAATGGAACCCCTCAAGGAAGTGTTTGTAGCCCCATACTTTTTAATATAATGATAAATGATATTTTTGGGGAAATTGAATTAGGAATAGGAAAAGCACTATATGCAGATGACGGAGCTTTGTGGAAAAAAGGGAAGAACCTGCAGTATGTAGGGCAAAAAATGCAGGAGGCTATAGATGTTGTTGAAAATTGGGCTAATCAATGGGGTTTTCGTCTTTCAGTTGAAAAAACCCAGGTAATATGTTTTTCAAAGAAGAAGAAAACTCCTGAAGTTAAATTAAAGTTGTATAAACAAACATTAGAGCAAGTATCACTAATAAGGTATCTGGGAGTATGGATGGATTCCAAATTAACATTTGGGTCACATATTCAGAAGTTAGTTGATAAATGTAAGAAAGGAGTCAATGTGCTGAGGTGCTTGGCAGGAGTAGATTGGGGAGCTACTAGACGTTCTCTTAAAAGGGTATACAGTGCATTAATTAGGTCAGCAATTGATTATTGTAGAATAGTATATGGCTCAGCATCAACCTCATTATTAACTAAGATAGAGGTAATTCAAAACCAAGCCCTTAGAATATGTTGTGGAGCGTTTAGATCCTCTCCTGTGACAGCTTTGCAGGTAGAAATGGGTGAAACACCACTAGACATTCGTGAAATTCAGCTTAAAATGGTATATTGGACTGGTATTAAAGGTCATTTTACCAATCATCCAGTAAAAAAAATATTGGAGAGCTGCTGGGAATATGAGCAGACATATATGAATAGTTTTGGCTGGACAGTAGGCAAGCAGGCTCAACAAATAGGTATCAGTAATATCGATATTAGCCCCACGGTGGCTCTGCCAGTATATCCACCTTGGGTTTTTTCTATGCCAACAGTTGATTTGCAGATATTTAATTTAATAAACGAAAACAAGAAATATGTTCCCAAAGAGACAATAGTGCAGCAGCATTTAGATAGTCATTACTTTCAATTTTTACAAATTTATACAGATGGTTCTAAAGACCCAGAAACTGGGCGTACAAGTGCTGCCATGTATATTCCTCACTTTAAATATAAATCTGCAAAAAGAACTTCTAATAATATATCAGTATATGCAGCAGAGATGATCGCTATTCAGATAGCTTTACAGTGGGTGGAAGAAATGAGGAGGTAGACAAGACAGTGAAACAGGCTCTTAAGCACACAAATATTGACATACATATACCCTTGACTAAATCTGAAATTAAAGGTTTAATTAAAGTAGCTGTCAGAAAGATATGGCAAGAGAGATGGGATAAAGGTAACAAAGGGCGACATTTGTATAATATAAATAAACAAGTAGGACAAGTAAGAACTGCTTATGGTAATAGAAGGGATGATACAGTTATATCTCGATTGAGAATTGGACACTCTACTCTTAATAAATCACTCCAGATGATAGGAAGACATGAATCTGGTCAATGTAATCATTGTGGACTTCCTAATGATAAATGATATTTTTGGGGAAATTGAATTAGGAATAGGAAAAGCACTATATGCGGATGACGGAGCTTTGTGGAAAAAAGGGAAGAACCTGCAGTATGTAGGGCAAAAAATGCAGGAGGCTATAGATGTTGTTGAAAATTGGGCTAATCAATGGGGTTTTCGTCTTTCAGTTGAAAAAACCCAGGTAATATGTTTTTCAAAGAAGAAGAAAACTCCTGAAGTTAAATTAAAGTTGTATAAACAAACATTAGAGCAAGTATCACTAATAAGGTATCTGGGAGTATGGATGGATTCCAAATTAACATTTGGGTCACATATTCAGAAGTTAGTTGATAAATGTAAGAAAGGAGTCAATGTGCTGAGGTGCTTGGCAGGAGTAGATTGGGGAGCTACTAGACGTTCTCTTAAAAGGGTATACAGTGCATTAATTAGGTCAGCAATTGATTATTGTAGAATAGTATATGGCTCAGCATCAACCTCATTATTAACTAAGATAGAGGTAATTCAAAACCAAGCCCTTAGAATATGTTGTGGAGCGTTTAGATCCTCTCCTGTGACAGCTTTGCAGGTAGAAATGGGTGAAACACCACTAGACATTCGTGAAATTCAGCTTAAAATGGTATATTGGACTGGTATTAAAGGTCATTTTACCAATCATCCAGTAAAAAAAATATTGGAGAGCTGCTGGGAATATGAGCAGACATATATGAATAGTTTTGGCTGGACAGTAGGCAAGCAGGCTCAACAAATAGGTATCAGTAATATCGATATTAGCCCCACGGTGGCTCTGCCAGTATATCCACCTTGGGTTTTTTCTATGCCAACAGTTGATTTGCAGATATTTAATTTAATAAACGAAAACAAGAAATATGTTCCCAAAGAGACAATAGTGCAGCAGCATTTAGATAGTCATTACTTTCAATTTTTACAAATTTATACAGATGGTTCTAAAGACCCAGAAACTGGGCGTACAAGTGCTGCCATGTATATTCCTCACTTTAAATATAAATCTGCAAAAAGAACTTCTAATAATATATCAGTATATGCAGCAGAGATGATCGCTATTCAGATAGCTTTACAGTGGGTGGAAGAAATCCAACCAACAACAGTGGTAATCTGTTCAGATTCATATTCTGCACTCACAAGTATATTGAGTGGAAAATCAGAATCTAGACAAGATATTTTATTAGAAGTACTGCAAAGTTTGTACCGAATACGGCAACTGAGAATTCTAGCAGAATTTGTATGGGTGCCTGCTCATGTTGGAGTGGAAGGAAATGAGGAGGTAGACAAGATAGTGAAACAGGCTCTTAAGCACACAAATATTGACATACATATACCCTTGAGTAAATCTGAAATTAAAGGTTTAATTAAAGTAGCTGTCAGAAAGATATGGCAAGAGAGATGGGATAAAGGTAACAAAGGGCGACATTTGTATAATATAAATAAACAAGTAGGACAAGTAAGAACTGCTTATGGTAATAGAAGGGATGATACAGTTATATCTCGATTGAGAATTGGACACTCTACTCTTAATAAATCACTCCAGATGATAGGAAGACATGAATCTGGTCAATGTAATCATTGTGGACTTCCAGAAACTGTAGAGCATGTGCTGATTAACTGTAGGGCATATGAAAGGGAAAGAATACAGTTAAAAGAGGAATTAAAATCTGACGGCATTAATTCTATGACATTACAGAATGTGTTAAACAGTTCTCATAAAGGAAATAAAGCTCTTATTAATTTTCTGAAAATAACAAATTTATATAATAAAATATAGGTAGAAGGTTGGTTGGTTTTTTGTTTTTTTGAGAATTAGCATTTCCCTTGATAGCAGCGCCTCACACTCCATCCCAGTAGGTGGCGGAATATGCACCAAAAGCTGGTTTGCCAACCGCCATTAAACATCATAAGAAGAAGAAGAAGGCAGCACTTCAATATACAGCTAACGGTAAGACCCTTTTATCCTTTTGTCATCTCATTATTAATAAATCCATGCTACATTATCTACTGGTCGTTATTAAACTATGAGATTACTGAATCGTCTTGTTTGAATATTAACGCACGCAGCGCACGCTGTTAAAGTGAGCTCGAGAGTTAGCTCGTGAACTAACCACATAACGGTGTACTTTCCGCCTTACTTTCACTAAATTAACCCCATTTGGCGGTTTCTTCCGTGTCTATCATATTGGTAAATAGATATCGTTTTTGTATTGAAGCGCTTTTTATTGTGACTTTGAATGGCTAGCATTTCTTCTCCGGATGCTAACAGCTTTAGCACGTGAATCATGGCCTGAGTTTCTGTCATTAAAGTCCATCATAAACAACCAGTGGAGTTCATAGACCAGCCGTATACCACACAGATAATAATTTAGTGTTTATTCATACATGTGAGCGAGATACCTGTCAGGCCGCTTCAGCCAGAGCGGGCCAAGCATGTGTGCGACCGTCTGTCAAGATCATAAACATAGAGATTATCAACTGCTTTCGCTATTAATATAGCGTTACGGGACGTCTGAAAGAAACATTTAAGGGTCAGCTTCAAAATGCACTCCAAATTCAGGTCTTTCATGACTGAAATGCGTTCATGAAATACATATGTATATATTATCATCAGCAGTGTTTCTCTGTTTCTGATTTTAGCTTATAGTGAATTAATTTGCTTATAAGTAGACCCTTGAGTATATATTATATATATATATAATATTTTTTATTATGATTTTTTTGGGGGGGAGAGTTAATTGTGAGTTATTACAAATCTCACTGCAGTGGTTCTCATAGCAGATATTGTTTTTTGTTTTTTTCTGTAGCAATCATGGAGCTCAATGATAGAAATCTCCAAACCCTGACTGAGTATCTGCAAAAAACACTAAGCCCTGACCCAGCTGTGAGACGGCCAGGTAACATTCACTTTTGAGGCTATTCAAAAAAAAAAAAAATTGGCATTTTCTTAGAATAGGCTATTTCCCCCCTACTGGTCCATTTGGGCCAGTGGATGAGATTTTTGCTTGCCCTGCCAAAAGTTTCACTAGCCCGCCACAAAGAGAAAAAAATGTTTTCAGTGTTACCCTTGTAACCTTGTATCGTAATATATTTTGTCTTTACGACTCCAATATTTCATATACTAGTGAAATTTCACAATTCTCAATAGGGTTGCACAATTTGGGGAAAAATATTCTAAAGAAAACCAGCTTTGTTGTGCTTGTTTGTAGGGCTGCACAATTTGGCCAAACATTAAACAAATATTACTATTGTAATAACACTATTTCACTATAAAATAAAGTAATCAAGAATAAGTTTGATATTTAGGATATAGTAATAATTGTCTTTTACTGCAAGCTTTAATTTTGTGAGAAACTGCAGGGGGCATATAACTATAAATCATTATAAAGGTCTAAGATCTTTTTTATCAAATATAATATAATTATGCCAAAAACTGTGACAGTAATTTCTTAATTTTGTTAGGAGGTATGCAAAAAAAATGAGTCTGTGCCTTTAATATCAACCATTGAGGGGAAAAAAAAACAAACCTTGTACACTTCTCCTCGGAGACCTTCACTAAACAACATCCCTCAGGGTTTTTAGTCAAATTGTGCGCTTGTTTGGACAATACTACCATAATATTAATTTTAAAAGTTCAAACACTGTAAAAGACAAGTAAACAGTCAGTAGTTGGCCAAAAAAAAAAAGAAAGAATCAATTTCGCATACAATAGAAAAAAGATTCAAATAAAATAAACAGTGCTATAGACCAATTTGGAGTAGACGTCACAGTTACGTCACTTGCAGCTGCGCGCGCATAGTGGTTGCAGAAAAACACTGGGAACAAGTGGAGGTAAATGGGTAAAATCCATGGAATAAAATAACTTTTTTTTTTTGTGCCTTTTGATGTCAAGATCTGAATGCAAATAATTTTTATAGAATAATGTCGTCATTTGAAGCTAGACGCAGACGTTTAAATGGACATACTATGGATGAAAACTGTTATGATTACTCTACTTTTGAAGCATAAATTCGATTTAAACAATAGGCGTCACCCCTGTTTCGGATCTGTAAGACTATCGCACTCTCTAACGTCAGTTTCGTTGAATAACAGTGCTTATCGCTGGGTGACAAGCTCTTGTAATATGTGTAGAACATTTTGAAAATGACATCTAATCAATATAATTTATAATCTTTTTAAACCTAACTATTTTGTACCGTATCCGTGAAATTCTCTAGCCGTAAAGGCTATCTCTCCCGGGTTTTCTGCAACCATGATGCGCGCGCATCCTGAATGTTTACAAACCGGTAATTGGTCTATACATTTTTCTGTAATATTGAGGTACAGTAGTTGAACAAAGTGATCAAATGTAAAATAACACTGAGTCTTCACTGTATATCTGCACCGTGTTTGTATTCTCATCTTTAGCTGAGAAATTTCTGGAATCGGTGGAAGGAAACCAGAACTACCCCATTTTACTGCTCACAGTACTAGAGAAGTCCCAAGACGAGGTCATTCGCGTGTGTGCGGCCGTCACCTTCAAGAACTACATCAAGAGAAACTGGCGCGTAGTGAGTGTCCTGTTAAATACTAATCAAACCGTCTGGAGTGTGATAGGTGGTGTTTAATGTGGATTTGTGCACTTTCTCTTCCTAAGGTTGAGGATGAACTAAACAAAATCTCTGATCCTGACCGGACCGCTATCAAAGCCAACATTGTAAATTTGATGTTAAGCAGCCCAGAGCAAATTCAAAAACAGGTACCCATTTCAGATAACACATGAGAAGCAGCAGTTAGAATAAAGTTGCTTCACCTTCATACTTCTACAGTTACTCTTCTGTTATTTGGAGCGAGTGCTGCTACTGTAACCCACATTACTGGGTTTTTTAATAAACCTTACTGCTGTAGCCTATAGATCAGTGGTTCTCAACCAGGGGTCCTCAAGATGATTCAAAATAAGACAAAACAATAAATTAAAATAAGCTAAAACAGCTAAGCCACTGGTTTAAATATTTACATGCCCTGCCAACATTTTCACTGTCCCAGCTACAAAAAAAACTTTTTTTTTTTTTTTACCCATGTAACTAGGGATGTCAACGATTAATCGATGATCGATTAATTGTCGATAAGAGCATTAAAGCTATCGATGGTCGATTAAGCTATTTAATTTTGGGCTGCGTGCGGCTCATGCGCAAAACACGTGCGAGCGGCTGCGAGTGACGGTATATAAATGCATCATCATTCACTCATAATTACAAATTAAGCTTTTAATGTGATTTAAACTTTAAAAGTACATTAAAATAGAAACAACACAAAGTTCTTCAACATGGAATGCAATAGAAATGTAGTAACAGTCATTTCCCCAGATAATTGTTTCATATTTGACTTATTAATTTGTGGCCACTGTCCATGTTTCGTTAATTTTGTTCCTTAAATAACCCATGATTTAACTAAAACGAGGGAAGCAACAGTGTGTTTTGCTGCAGCAGCGCCGATGGAAGCGGTTCACTGACTGCACAGCACAGCCACACATGCCACAGTTACGTTTGGGATAATTTTATTTTAAGTGCCATAATGTCAGTTGAAAACATTGCAATAGTGTTTTAAAATACAATAACAAGCACCACGAAACCATTTAAAGAGGTGCGTTCAGCGGTCTCCGTGTCGGGATAGGAAACAGTCAACCAGGTAAAATGATCTCAAACGTACGGCGCGCTCTCTTCATTTTATCAAATGATCATAATCACATCTATTCATTTTACAATCCTGCTACTAGCATTTTATTCAGACTAAAACCCCTTTAATTCGGGTGAGAAAGCGGGGGTTTTGCACATCCTGTCATGCCGGTGACTGCGTGCTGCTGCAATAGACGCATTTTGCTGCATTAAAGTTAACGATTAATCGATTAATTGTTCGTTAATTTAAATGACGATCGATCATGGAAATGATCGAAAATTGACATCCCTACATGTAACCTGTTATTCAAATAAATAAGCATATAATGACACCAAGATTTTAGATACCACTTAAATTCACAATTTTCCATTTCAATATCACAGGAAAAACAATTAGCCTAACTAATAAAAAGTTCAAACATTATTTAAGACAAGTGAACAGTCAGTAATAAATTAAACAAATTAAAAATATATATAAGCAATAGCACAAATAAACACTATATCTGTAATGTGACTGTTTTCCCCTCTGCAGCTGAGTGATGCGATCAGCATCATCGGAAGAGAGGATTTTCCTCAGAAATGGCCGGATCTCCTGACCGAGATGGTGACTCGTTTTCAGAGTGGAGACTTCCACGTCATCAACGGAATTCTTCGCACGGCCCACTCCCTTTTTAAAAGGTGTTTGAGACGGATTGAAATGAAATGAACGCAACATTGTAGCCTTTATATGTAACTTTTTTAGGATCGGGTGTTGTTTTTTCTTAGTTATGTTACATTTTTTGACCTTTACGTAAATTTGATGCATACAGTATTTTGAATATTGTCTCTGTTGTCTTTCAGATATCGCCATGAGTTTAAGTCCAATGAGCTGTGGTCAGAGATCAAGCTGGTACTGGACACTTTTGCACAGCCTCTCACTGAACTTTTCAAGGTGAAGTCAATGAGTGGTTGTCCATTATGTTGTTGCATCATGAACTGAAATATTAGCAATCACTTGTGTTTACTCATATGTGTGATATGGAAATGTAAATGTCAATTGTTTGTTTCACTTTTAGGCTACGATTTTAGGATCGGGTGTTGTTTTTTCTTAGTTATGTTACATTTTTTGACCTTTACGTAAATTTGATGCATACAGTATTTTGAATATTGTCTCTGTTGTCTTTCAGATATCGCCATGAGTTTAAGTCCAATGAGCTGTGGTCAGAGATCAAGCTGGTACTGGACACTTTTGCACAGCCTCTCACTGAACTTTTCAAGGTGAAGTCAATGAGTGGTTGTCCATTATGTTGTTGCATCATGAACTGAAATATTAGCGATCACTTGTGTTTACTCATATGTGTGATATGGAAATGTAAATGTCACTTGTTTGTTTCACTTTTAGGCTACGATTGATTTGTGTCAAACTCATGCAACAGATATCAATGCCCTGAAAGTGCTCTTCTCTTCCCTAGCACTTATTTCAAAACTTTTCTACAGCCTTAACTTCCAGGTGAGTCTGCACTTACACCGCTCATGCTTCCATTTGCACTTCTGTGCCAGTTTTCCAGTTAACATCTCTTTTCCAATCTCTTCAGGATCTCCCAGAGTTCTTTGAGGATAACATGGAGACTTGGATGACCAATTTTCATAACTTATTGACTTTGGATAACAAGTTGTTGCAAACGGATGTGAGTTTATTCTCATATTGAAATATTATGACTCACAAGGAATGCTCACAAATCTGATTTCTGTAACCTTAAAAATGTGACTCTCTTGATGTAGGATGAGGAGGAGGCTGGTCTGTTGGAGCTGTTGAAATCTCAAATCTGTGATAACGCAGCACTTTACGCTCAAAAATACGATGAAGAGTTCCAGCCTTACTTGCCTCGCTTCGTCACAGCTATCTGGAACCTGCTGGTCACAACTGGTCAGGAGGTTAAATATGACTTGGTAAGTGGATTGCATGTAATACATGTTGTATTTATGCGTGTTGCAAGTTGAAAATGTTCACAGACTTGGTGGCAGACACTATTTTAGTGTTCATAGTGCTGTTAGTTTTTCCTAACAGTGCCTGATAACATTATGTCTGTTGTAGCTTGTGAGCAATGCTATCCAGTTTTTGGCGTCAGTGTGTGAGCGGCCGCACTATAAGCATCTCTTTGAAGACCAGAATGTTCTCACTAGCATCTGTGAGAAGGTCATCGTACCCAACATGGAGTTCAGAAGTATGTGTCAGTTTAGATCTTATATTTTAGTAGCTGATGAGGTGGTATAAATAATCCGGAAGGATGTTGTAAATTGATAATTGTATGTGAACAGGTGCAGATGAAGAGGCTTTTGAAGATAACTCGGAAGAGTACATCATCAGAGACCTTGAAGGCTCAGGTATGTTGACACTACTCTCTATTGTTCAGACACTTGGTCTTCTGTACTGAATCATATCTCCTGTCCTCATAGACATCGACACGAGGCGTAGAGCAGCCTGTGATTTGGTGCGAGGCCTCTGTAAGTTCTTTGAGGGCCCGGTGACGGGCATCTTCTCTGGCTATGTAAACTCCATGCTGACGGAATATGCCAAGAACCCCGGGGTGAACTGGAAACACAAAGATGCTGCTATCTACCTGGTCACATCTCTGGCCTCCAAAGCTCAGACACAAAAGGTGAGATGCCTGCTAGGGTGGGCTTTGATCAAACTGTTTTATTGCTTCATCTGAATTTGCCCTCAAATGTTGCTAGTGTTCACAACAGCAGCATCATTTCACTGGTGGCTCACTTAATGCAAATTGTTCTTTTCTAGTTTAGCATTTTATTTTTGTAAGTACAATTTTAACAGTGTCACAAATAGGCATGGGCCGGTATGAGATTCTGACGGTATGATAACTTTAGATCAAAAAAAATATCACGGTTTCACGGTATTGCGATTACTGCTCTAAAATATGTTATTTTTAAATGTCTGGGTGAAAAAACAACTTTTTTTTCCACTGAACACATTTTATTTTTAAGAAAAAAAAAAATTCCTATAAAAAAAAAAAAATGCAGTCACTTAAGTGAGCCTAAACCTGCAGCTCAATAATCAAACATATAATCAAAACATAATTTCTGTAAAAAATTAAATAAATAAATAAATGCATGCATAAACCTGCAGCTCAACAAGGTTTTTGGAGACATGCTCGCTTTCTACACATTCATCTTTCAGTCCAAGTTATGATGCAGGAATGTTCACCTTTCCCGGATTAAGTTTGGAGCTATGGTTTGGAGCGGTGAGGTACGAGGATGTGTGCACATACGCACATAAGGAAAGAGAGAGCGCGAGTGTCACACACACACGCACGCACGCTCAAAAAGTGGCAAAGTTTTTTTTGTTTGTTTTTTTTTAAATGCGTGATTTTGAACGGATCTAAACAATGGCAGGAGGCTTAAAAGTATAGACGTGATATGGCTTCTAAACCAAATTTTTCACTTCTCCAGACACGGCCACACTCCGTCGGGCCTTACACTTCACTACACGAAACCGTTAAAAATGTAACACTGTCACAGTACGTCGGACACAACCACACAACTTCGGGTTTTATGTTATATTTTTAAAACAGTTTACTTAGCCACAGTACGTCGGGCAAATCAACACAAAAACACCATAGTTATGAAATAATTCTGTGACAGAAATTGCAGCGCTTATGAGTTGACCAACGCGGTGGTCGCACCAGTGCGACTGCACACAAAATTTAGTCGCACAAGCAGAAAAAATGGTTGCCGTCTGGAGCCCTGCATATTAAAGTTCATAAGTGCAGCGCTGCTTTGTTTACAGCGGAAACCAAGAAAACGCTTTAAGCGCCACCTGCTGGCAGAGAGTGAATCTGCGTCTCATTCAGCTCATCTGCTGTTTCTGTTTCATGCAGAACAGAAACTATGTATAGTTTCACAAAACTGAAGTCAAATCATTCTGTTTTTGCTTCAAATTTAGAAATTATACAATGTAATTTAGATTAAAAACTGCTCATGTTGCATGTATGCATCATCTTTGTTTGGATCATGGTTAAGATGCAGTGGTTGCCTCTAATTTTAAATGGAAAGAGCACAGACAAAGCCTTAGTTTGTTTATATGAAGATATTTATTGTATTTGTTATTTATTTGATTTGGGGCTTGTTTTACATTTTCAATTTAGTTTTGTTGTTTACATTTACATTAAATTTAAATTTTGTCATTTAGCAGACACTTTTATCCAAGGTGACTAACAAATGAGGACAATAGAAGCAATCAAAACCAACAAAAGAACAATAATATACAAGTGCTATATTAGTATATTATTATAGTGTTATATTTCAATTTCACAAAGAAACGTACAGTATTTTGTCTAAGCAATAATAAAAGGACACATTTAATTTATAATCTGTCTTAAATCTCATTTTGTTCAAAAAAAATCGTGAATCGAATCGTGAAATCAAAATCGTGAATCATTACATCCCTACGTCGGCAACAACAATACTACAGCGAGAATAAAAGTTAAGCCTTCTTTCTTTGTGTGAACATTTGGGCGGCATTATGCAAATCTTCCCACATAGTGACGTAGATATGTGGGGGCGTGTTAGAACGAGCCGTTTTAGGTAGGCGTGGCTGACTCTTAACTTTTATGAAGAATATCTCTGCAACTTTACAGATCTTCTTTATGCACCAAGAGCTTGTAACACTCCAAAGAGAAAGGAAAAATTGAAATCGCATCATATGACCCCTTTAACTTTTGTAGATGGTCTAAAGCAAGAGTTGTAAAAAATTCTGAAAATCTTTTAGTGCTCCTTGTATTTTTCATAATCCGTTTGAAAACAAAAAACATATTACACGTTAATGAATAAATATGCTAAATTATTTAATTTACAAGCGTCATGTTTGTTTGTTTTTTTGTTTTTTATTCATGAAAGCTAAAGCTTCTGACCTTTAAATCAAAACATACTCATGATTTTAACATGAATTAACATGAAGTTTTAATCTTGATGTGATTTGTGTATTTTACTTTCATTTTATAACAAGTACACCCCTCCCCTAAGTAAATAAAACGCCTTACCGGAGGATAGCTGCTGCTAGTGACTGTTGACTCTATCGCACAAAGGACGCGTCATGTTGTACTTGCATTCTCAGATTAAATGCGGCGATCCAAAACAGTGAATCTAATCCTCATTCAGGAAAAAGTTCACTTCAAGAATGAGCACACTGCTGTTGTGATCTTATCGCTAGCACACCCTGAGCACATGTGAGTTATTCGTGTTATCATCAAGGCAGATCGGCATAATTTTTCTTATTGGACCAATGCAGATATTTACATTTTAAGCCATTGTCGGCCGTTCCGATAATATCGTGCATCCTTATAAAATATGCTGCAATGAAATTTAGATTTATTTTACATAATATTTACTAAATTTGCAAATGAATCAATATGAAAAGTCATTTTACTGTAAAAATTCTATTTACGTGGCTGTTTCTTTTCAGATTATTGGAGCCATTCTTAATAGTTTGAGTCTGATTTCTGTTGGTTTGTGAACTATAGATCTGAGGTCCAGTCTGACAAATGTGTACTTCTGTTTTACAGCATGGAATAACACAAGCCAATGAGTTGGTGAACCTGTCTGAATTCTTTGTCAACCACATTCTAGTAGACCTGAAATCTCCCAACGGTAATTGGCTTTTCTCCTTTCATTTAGCACTTTAAACTGTTTTTACTGGAACTACAATGATGCTGAATGAGTTATTTTCTTCTTTGTTCCTCAGTGAACGAGTTCCCAGTTTTGAAAGCAGATGCCATCAAGTATGTAATGACCTTCAGAAGTCAAGTAAGCACTTTCTTTTCCATTACATTGTACGCTGTCCATCACGCAAGTATGCCTTCACTGGGTGTGATGGTCTGGCTTCTGTCTGGTCCTCCAGCTCCCTAAAGAGCAGCTGTTGGAGTCTGTTCCTCTTCTGGTGGCCCACCTGCAGGCAGAGAGCATCGTTCAGCACACCTATGCAGCACATGCACTCGAGAGACTCTTTACCATGAGAGGAGCCAACAACGCCACTCTGTGAGTTTATCCAGTACAAGACATGAGAATGTTCATGTTCTAAATTTTTCGATCATTTAATTATTTTCTAAACTAATCCTATTTTTCAGCATCACGCCTACTGAGATGGCACCATTCACAGAACAGTTACTCAACAATCTGTTCAAATCTTTAGCAGTCCCTGGCTCGTCTGAGAACGAGTACATCATGAAAGGTAATTGCCTCTTTGAGATTCACAAACAACATTTTAGTAGGCAACTTTTTGTTTACTTTTATAATTTTATATACTCCTTGACCTTTTCTGTTTGTCACCTCTCCAGCCATCATGAGGAGTTTCTCCCTGTTACAGGAAGCCATTGTGCCCTACATCCCCACTCTCATTGGCCAGCTCACCCATAAGCTTCTCCTCGTCAGCAAGGTAAGCCAGTCACTAAATCTGTTGTCCTTTGAAGGAGGCTTGAGCTCAGGTTTGTGTCCAGTCATGTGGTCTCTGTCTCAGTCCATGGCATTAGATGCACTGGCAGGACACACAGAAATATCCGTCCATTAAAGGGGACATTTCCCAAGCAGGACTTTATCCTAAAGGCAGGACGGGACATTTCCATGTTCTATACAGAAATGTGTTTAGCATGCCATACTACCATACAATTCAGCATACTAGTACAATTTCTGCAGCATGCACATTTTCTGCATTCAAATAGCCACTCGCCGAATAAAACATGTAACGGTGAGATCATGTGGCAAATTTTAAACTTAATTTAGTCATTTAAATAACTGCTTTATAGTAAGCAATATCAGTTTTCCATTTTCAGTTTTTTTTTTAATGTGTGGGCAGTTCTTCAGAGATTTTTTTTTTTTCTTTACAGAATCCCAGTAAGCCACATTTCAACCATTACCTGTTTGAGTCACTGTGCCTGTCCATCAGGATCACCTGCAAGGCCGATCCAGACACCGTGGACAGCTTTGAAGAGGCCCTGTTTCCTGTGTTTACTGAGATCCTCCAAAATGATGTGCAGGGTGTGTTACGCTGTTAAAAAGCTGTTAAACTCTTAAACCTTTTTCACACAGTTGTGTGGTGACTTACACAACCATTCAGAAGTATGAGTAAAGAGTATTACTTGAATGTGAATCAATTTAATTTCTTAAAAAAAAAAAAAGTCTTACTGACCCCAAACATCTGAACGTTAGAGCAGTGTTTCCTGTATGTAACCTCATGATGGAAGCCATGTTTTTATGGGCCTTTCCTCTTGTCTCCTCTGGCCCTGCAGAGTTTGTGCCGTACGTCTTCCAGGTGATGTCTCTGCTGCTGGAGATCCACACCAGCTCCATCCCCTCCTCCTACATGGCCCTGTTTCCTCACCTCCTGCAGCCCGCGCTGTGGGAACGCACAGGAAACATCCCTCCTCTCGTCCGGCTGCTGCAGGCCTATCTGGAGAAAGGAGCCGCCGCCATCGCCAGCACAGCCGCTGACAAGATTGTGAGTGTTTCATGCAATGTCTTCTAGTTTGTTTGTTTTTTTTTATTGCTAGATGAATAGCCGCAATGCAGTTGACCTCAACTCAGTAGCTTTTCATTAAAATAATGTAATTAGTGCTGACTATTCAGAATAGTGCTGACTAGAATAAAAAAAATTTAACTTTTTTTTTTTTTTTTTTCCCCCAGCCTGGTCTTCTTGGAGTATTCCAGAAGCTCATCGCATCCAAGGCTAACGACCATCAAGGCTTCTATCTGCTCAACAGTATAGTGGAGCACATGCCTCCGTAAGCGATGTGTAATAAGGACACAAGAATAAAAGAGTTGACATGTTTCTGTGCTCTATTCATTTGGTTCTGTGTGTTTGTATGCAGGGATTCCATCACCCAGTACAGGAAACAGATCTTTATTTTGCTTTTCCAGAGGCTTCAGAGCTCCAAGACCACAAAATTTGTTAAGAGTGAGAGATTGCTGTCATTTCTGATCATGGTTTACTTCTAACCCCATATTTAAATGAGCCCTGTAATTTTAAAATCACAAATTGCTCACTATATTGATCTGTCACCCATTTTCTCTCCACAGGTTTCCTGGTATTCATCAACCTTTATTGTGTGAAATATGGAGCAATTGCATTGCAGGAGATATTTGATGACATCCAGCCAAAGCAAGTAGCTTTATTATTCAAAACATGTCGAGTCATAATCATTGCAGATATTACTGACTGGCTTATTAATTAAATTTTCCCATCAAAGCATCTTTTAAAAAAGTGTATGGGTTTCCATTATTTTCTGTCTCTTCAGGATGTTTGGCATGGTTGTAGAGAAAATCATAATTCCTGAGGTGCAGAAGGTCTCTGGGCAGGTGGAGAAGAAGATCTGTGCTGTGGGCATCACTAAGATCCTCACTGAGTGTCCTGCCTTGATGGACACAGAGTACACCAAACTCTGGTAAGACACACTACAGGGTTTTTTCTTAGGGATTTTTTTTTTTTTCAGGCCAATTTTTACTAATATTTTTAGAGCCTCTTATTATTCTGGTATTGTCCCTGTCTTATGGAAAACATCTACAATAATTCCAGTGGCGAAGGTTTCTAGGCCTTCAGGATTAAATGATTTTCGACCCAATAGCACTTACATCACTAGTGGAAAATGTGCATTGTGTCTGAAACACAGCATTTTATAGATCCTCTGCAATTTGCATATCAATCCTCCAGGGGGGTTGAGGATACAATTTTAACTCTATTGCATCTGCTGTATTCACATTTAGAGAAACCAAAAATTCTATTTGTGGATTTCTCATCAGCTTTTAGCTCTATTTCCCCCCAGTACATTAGCTGTTACCCTGGAAAAAGAATTTCATTAAACAGTTGGACGCATATCTGGGTGACTAATTTTCTTAGTTTTAGAATTCAGAAGGTAGGTATACTAATTATTGCGTGAGTTCTTTTAAAAACTGATATATCGTAAAATATGCAGATGATACTGCTTTAGTGAGCCCTTTTACATGATGGGGAGGAAGAACATGGGCCTGTTTTGGAATTCTTTTTAAATTGGTGTGAAAATTCAAATCTCCTCTAAAATATCTCCAAAACTATAAGGATGGTTATTGATTTTAGAGAGAGAGAGCGAGAGAGAGCAAAATGTAACCCATCTTACATTAATTAATGGGAAGCAAATACAATTAGTAACACATTGTGTGACACAAAATGTGAATTGTTAAATGTCTGTATGAGTGTATGCTGCAAGCATACTTTCCCTACAGGGATAAATAAATATACTGGAATTTTTATGTGCCGACTAATGGGAAATGACTGTTAAAAATGCAAACTGCACATGAAATGACTTGAATGCACTTTATGTGATAAACATGTTTTTAGTTGTTTTCTGAGGGAGAGGCTTGAAGTCACACATGTAAGTAAGGGTAGACAACTCCTGATATAAAATCCTTGTTAAAAACAAAATGAAAAATGTTATTATTTCTAAGGGGAAAAAATGCTTGAACAAACCTGTTTATTAATATTTGAAAAAACCTTGTCAGCCAAATCAAGTAATGTGCTGTGCACAATATACAAAAACATGCAGGGAAAAAAATCTAAATATCATAGAGTGGACCCCAGCAGGCTATTATAACTTTATGGATGGTCATAAAGATGTCAAATTACCTGTAATGTCATGTAGTGCCACTTTCCAAAATACAATGATAATAATGAATAACTTACCTTGAAAAATATTTTAATACCTGAAAATGTTTACAATGTGTACACTTATTACTTAAATCTTGATGGATACACCACATATTTAACTTCTCTTAAAACTGTATAAGCTTTTTAAAACTTTATGAAACCTTTAGAGCACATTTCTAAGAACTTTTTTCCCAAGATTTCTGTGGACACTCTTATTATTCATTGAGTCTAACAAGATAACTTGGGCTGTCAGATGATCTGATGAGTTAATCATGAACATGTGGTGAGAAAAGTCTGCTTTTGCTCTTTAGGACTCCTTTGTTGCAGGCTTTGATTGGTCTGTTCGAGTTACCAGAAGACGACAGCATCCCAGACGATGAGCATTTCATAGACATAGAGGACACTCCAGGGTACCAGACCGCTTTCTCACAGCTTGCTTTTGCAGGCAAGAAAGAGCATGACCCCATCGGAGACGCTGTCAGCAATCCCAAAATCCTCCTAGCTCAGTCCTTACACAAACTCTCCACCGCCTGTCCTGGAAGGGTGAGTATCACTCACGAGAAGAATGCTGATATAATCACTAAAATGACTTGAGAACATGACAGAAGCATGCTTGGTCTCCAGACCTAGAGAGCTGCATATCCAGAATACCTGCTGAGCTGTTGAAGTAACTAAATGTCGTCTTTAACAGGTGCCCTCCATGTTGAGCACCAGTCTGCCAGCAGAAGCTCTTCAGTTCCTGCAGGGTTACCTTCAGGCGGCCACTGTACAGCTGCTGTAGCAGACTCCTTATCACCAAGAAAGGGGATCTCTGGCGCTCTCAAGAAACCCAAACTGATCCAACCAAAAAAAGAGACGACCAGTGGACTCAACATGAGCGGAGATGTACCACCCAGTGATACATGGCCAGACAGAAGGGATTTCTAAGAAATTGTTTTAATGATTTGTGTGCGATGAATGGGACCGAGCAGGGAATAATGTTTGGAAAGCAATGGTGATGCTTGGGTAGAGGGGTGCTGATCATCTCACTGGGTGGCCTCTGCTGATGTTGGCTTTACTTATGTATTATTTGGAGTCCATTCGGTATGTTCTCTTATTGTTTAGTTTGGCGTCTCACCCAACCATACATTCGGCAGTATTTTGAAATGTCGCCTTTTACAAACATTGAACAGCACTTGGGAGTTGGCAGACATTTGGCGGCATCTGTAAAATCAATGGGGAAAGCGTTTTCAGTTTGTTCTTTTTCCTGTAGTTTTGGAGATGTTTTTACTGTATAAACGAGTTGTTTTGCAAAGCAGAAAAATTTGTCAAATGTCTCATGTTGCTTGTCATTCACCATGTTTTGTCTTTTTGCTGTTTTGCTGCTCTAGTCGTTAATAAATGAAATGAAGCACTTGTTTAACATGTTGGTTCATGTTTGTATTTGTTCCTCATCTTGAGGTTTATGTGCCTGAGGATCTTACACATGACGGTAAGCTAAGGACCACAATCCCTGTATTGTGCTCGCCTGTTTCGCTAAAGCTGATCTAGTGTATTTCACAGATCAATGCATTCAGGAAGGATTGTTCAAAAACCATGTCAGGAGTCATGCATTGGGTCAGAAAGCTCTCGGATTTGATCAAAAATCTTAATTTGTGTTCTGAAGATGAACAAAGGTCATGTTCAGTGCAGTTGTTTTGACAGAGGGAAGCAAGATACATATCTAGTTTCAACATTATTTGTTCTTCAGAAATTACTCTTTAAAATAAAAACATATCATCTGTATGCAAAGTGACCCACATTTGGTTTTTGACCACTGAATACGTGTACAATTGAACAACCATATTGAGTTTCCAGTATCGCTGGAACGTAATCATACAAAATCTAAAAGGGCATTAAGATATCTTTAATACTATAATATCTTTAATAAAGATATCTTTAATGCAAATGAAAACCTTGAAAAGTGCTTTTTCCCATTTTTGAACGGTCACCACTGGCATATACTGCAACAAAGATTGCTAAGGTCAACAGATTTTGCTAATAGTAAGAGCAGTATGATGATCTGCAGAATACTGAGGATAGACTGGTACTATAACATCTGCTGAAGCTTTCAAAATTCCTGAACGAGCACTGGAGCTTCTGCCTAAAAGCAGTTTTGCGCTTCTTCACGAGATCCTCATTCTGAGAGATGACTCAACTGACCCACAGTTGCAATCTGTTGCATGGTCCAGAAATTTGGCAGATTTGCGCAAAATATGAGCCTTCTTAGGAGTCAGTTTCCATCTTTGATTAGTTTTATAGTTAAAAGTATTTCTGAGTAAAACATGAAGTCAGGGCTGTAATTAATTACATTAATATAAATGTGCAATTAGTCGACTGATGGCTTAAATGAATGACTAGTCGACTAGAAGAATCTTTAGTCAGAGGCAGCCCTAGAATTGACACAGATATATACCATATATGCATTATCTATGATTTTTTTGCATTGTTTATATGTGTGCACAAATTTCAAAGATAAACGGATTTACAAAGATCGTGGACTTTTAGTTGTTGTATATGTTGGTTTTTGTACCAGCTGCGCGGTAAAACTGTTTTTCTGCTGTATATGCTGCAAGCTGTCAATGAGCAGAAAAACAACATTTGAACTATAATTTAAAAAATGATTGTGATTTGAACAGTAAAAGACTGTAAAAATGCTACAGTAAAAACCTGTTAATTGGCTAACAGTAAGTTTCCATAATATATTCGGTGAATAAATGTAATTACATTTAACATAATTTACAGTAAAATACTGTTAAAAATACGTTTTTTGGAAGTGAAAAATAAAAAGTCCTTGTATAATTTACAGTGAAAAACCGTAAATTAACACTTCCAGAATTCCCTGCATGACACTTCATAGTTTTTTTTTTTGTTGAAATAACATGTTTCTTAGTTTTTTCTTATCAGTTGTGTACATTAGGGTTTAATCTTACATGTAATGTTGTTAAATGAATGTTTATTGCATTATTTCAGAATTATGTGTGTCACCATGATGGGGTTTAGTGTTTATGTGAATGACACTGTGCACCTTCTATATATACGTATTGCCCTCCTCAGCTCGTATAAAAGCTGTTTGTGATGAGCGTTGGTTCATCATGTGACTTTCTCATCACCACCAGTTTTTGGTGGTTATCAGTGCATTACAATGGTTCAAAACAGATATTAGTACTTCAATGTGTTGGTTTATTAACATTACATCAGTTAATGAAATACGGTATTTTGTTGTGAATTGAAGTCAAGTCTGTAAAGCCTAAAATGTTGCTACCATATTTTTTACAGTGAAGTTCTGGCAACCACAGCTGCCGGTATTTTACCGTAAATGTCACAGTTTTTTTTTTTACGGTGTAGTTGAAAAAGATACAGAGACCATGGAGATATATCTGTGACAAATGAACTTTTAAAAGTATTTTGTGTAGTCTGTCATTAAATATGAGCTCACAAAAAATGGTATTTGTATAACCATAAAAATTGCTGAAGCATAGTTTCTTCGATTCATATGTGGTTGTCATTAACACTCACTCGTCGCTAACTCTGTAGGCCTATACGTGAAAACAGTATTGCACCTGTAGAATCCTTTTCGGGACAGTTGAGTAATTTGCCTACATGCATTGGACATGGATAGTTGAGCTCATATTGGGCTGGCAGTAAAGTGGTTTCATATGAGAGACGTGTGCATGTTTGAAGAGTTTTGCAAGTAGTATGTGTTCTTAATGCTGTGAATCTTTCAGTGGATGTTTTTTAAAGACAATGAAAAGAGCTTCATTAAGACCTCAACAACTCAAAGAGAAGCTCCTTCAGGCCATCGATGCTCAGAGTAACATGAGTAAAAGCTGAGTTATAGACCCAAGTAATGACTTCAGTCTTTACGGGTTTGTCTAGTATAACCATGCTGCATGTGCATCATTAGTAGTAACTGTCACTTCATTTAATAATTCAATTTAACTACATATTGCAATTTCTATCCATTCTTTCAGCACTTTATGTCCTTTATGTGGAGAATATTAGGGAAGCAATATTCCCTATTTTTTTTTTACTGTATTCTTACGTATTGTTGACCACATTTTTTTATATTAATGTCCGTTTTGCCAGTGTATACCATAATCAAGATTTTTTTTTTATTCCTTAAATTAATTAGTTTGTTTTATCTGCTGGTTTGCTCAGTCTCACTGTGGTGAGGTTTATTTTTATTATGTAACTCCCTGGGGCCTTTTTCACAGATTTTTAGAGGAATGAGTATGCAAGCATATCACATTTGCATTTGCAAACAGCTGTTGACTGGGATCTGAAAGAGTCACTGCTGGTCTGTTGACTGCTGCAGGTGCACATGTGAGAGCAGATACATGAGGCCCATCTACTTTCATGAGTATGGCCAGCCTTAGAAAAAGAGACAAGAACTGTCTCGCTAAGCATTACCTGTTAAAGGATTTTTTTTTTTAATGCACAGAGAATATTATGAAAGCATGGAAGTGACTTTAGCTTAACGTCTACCTGTCAGCAGATACAGAACATGATGGCTGTATTTAATGTGATATGCTGCCTGGAAAGTTACCCCATGACTAAAGAGGCTCTAGTGGTAAGATACTAACTCACTCGGTTTATATTGAATTTATCCCAACAACTGTGATATGGTGTGTCACACTGAAAATGTGAATTAAAAGGATGGTTCACTCAAAAAAAGCATAATTTATACACCCTCATGTTGTTCCAAACCTGTATGAGATTTTTTCTTCTGCTGAACACAAAAGAAGATACTTGGAAGAATGTTGGTAGCAGTTGCTGATCCCCATTGACTGCCATAGTATGAAAAAAATGACATGCATACACACACACACACATACACACACACACACACACTGTGGGCAGTTGCTGTTTAATGCATTAATTTATTTATTTTTTTAAAACAAAAGAAACAAACAAAAAAATGCTCCCTTAATGAATGATTTGGTTTGTTGTATTCCAGGAAACCAGGTTTGGAAAGTTGATCAATGATGTGAGAAAAAGGAGGACATATGAAGATCTTGTTAAACGTTTAAAAAATCTGATACGACATTGGCAGAGGCTGGTTGGAGTAAATGAAGTCACAGTAGAAGAGCTCTCAAGCTTTGCAGTCAATTCGACTTCTGCTGAATGTATTCCTGGATCAACACAAACCCTTACTGAAAATTACCACAGTAACATGAGTGAGAGGGCTGACATGTCTCAGGGTTCTGTGCCAGATAAAACCATTAAACATCAAAATAATTTTAGAAAGAGTAAAATACCTGTCCGTGCGATCAAGCCATATTCTTCGTCCATCAAGCATTTACAACAGTCCACAAGCTGGAGAACATCTCTGTCCAATCATCATTCCCAAAAAGACCAGCACAAGTCTGAAAGAAACACCACCTCTGCCAGTCACAGTGACAAAAAGCACGTTTTGGCAACCAAGGAACCAGCACAATCCACTTCTATTACTTCTAATTTACCAATTTCATCCATCCAAGATTCATATGTAAAGAAGATGCAACAGCCTTCAGACCTCCTCAACATACTCAAACCTGCTACACTACATGGTAACCTCGATGAGGTCTCCAGCACAGTGACAGACACAAAGATAAAGGGTTTTGAGGATAAGACGAGGAAGAAACAGCACAACAGTCACACTGTCAAACACAATGGAGAGGTCAGTACCAAAACGGCACAACTGCAAGCAGGCAAACTATCAATCAAACCTATATCAAGCAAAACATTTACAAAAGATTGCCAGAGATCAACAGGAAGTGAAATCCAGGGCAGTGATCATCTGAATAACAGCCTTTGTTCGTTCCCACAGACAAACTGGAGAGAGATGTCAGAAAGTAAGATGATTCGGAATAGCTTACCGACTTCAGAAAAGTCAGGGATGAGCTTTTCTGTGGGTGAGAACATCAAGCAAGAGATAAAGAATTCCAGAGAGTGCAGAAAAACTCATGGGTTTATACCAGAGTTCCCTGTGAAAGCCCTTCCAGGGGTCAGCCGAGAGGTCACGGAGCGAGACCTCATCAGGATGGATACGCAGTCAGCGATGGCATGGTGTGAATGGCTGTTACGATAACCGGAATAACTGGTATGACTGGACTCAGTCCATCACCCTGGATCCATATGGGGATGGGAGTAAATTTAAGATTTTGCCTTATGTTGGCATAGATTACAGACTATGAGTTTTCAGAGGCATGTTTCTTAAATTACCAAATGTGGATTCACAACTACGTCCTGTGTGTTTGTTTTGTTGTGCTTCTCTGTTCTTCATGGTCCATTGCACTGGTGTGGCAAAACTTAATTAGTACAGTAGTTTGTAAGCAATAAGACAATACATTCTCTGTCAGCAAGACATCACATATGAACATACAAAACC